CAAGGCCCGGCCTGCTCACAGAATTTTAATTTCCCATCTGTATGTTCGCAGGCTGGGAACGGCCTCCCCCCTTGGTAAAATTCTTGCAACTGAGAGATGACTGGCGTCCGCCAAACCTGAGTATCAGCGCTGTCCTCTACAACTGAAGTCTTGCGTCTCTTTGGATTGGCCTGGTAGTAGCTGATCAGACCAGCAGTTTATGTGACAAAAATGCATGATCATTCAGGGGATCCGTCCTCGTAGTTGGAAGCTTTCCAACCCAGATCCTGCGTGAGACACAATTGGGCCTAAATGCACTTTGCTAAGCAGAGAAATTTGAAACGCATCGACTCAGAAAAATATCGTCGCGCCCATAGGAAACAAATGTGAAAAGTTGCACTGGCGCCACCCTGCCTCCAGCGCCAAATCCTCTGCACATTCGTCCTGAAATAGGTTGGGCTTTCATTTCAATCTTGGACCGTTTCTGAAAAGACGTGGCCCGATTGAAAAGGGGTACAAGGACAGGCATGCCTGAAGGAGGCCCTCTTCACGCAAACGCTGCATGTAGTACTCATCCGCCAAAGCCTGACAGAAGCTCATAAAAAGGAAGCTTGAGGTAATGGTAACTATAGTGCCTCTTCAGGGTCTTCACACAACATGTAGTACTCATCCGCCAAAGCCTGACAGATGCTCATAAAAAGGAAGCTTGAGGTAGCGGTAACTGTAGTGCCTCTTCGGGGTCTTCACACAAACGCTGCTTGTAGTATTCATCCGCCAAGACCTGGCAGAAGCTCGTAAAAAGGATCCTTGAGGCATTGGTAACTATAGTGCCTCTTCAGCGTCTTCACACAAACGCTGCTTGTAGTACTCATCTGCCAAGACCTGGCAGAAACGTGTAAAAAGGAAGCTTGAGGTAGTGCATGGGAACTAACCTTGCGCCTCTTCAGGGTCATTCCACAGGCGTGGGTCTTCCTGCGCGCGCGCAACAAACATGCAGCCTCAACCACTTCACGTGGATAACGAGAATTACTCTCTGACAAAAACTAGGGCCACAGTTTTGCAGAGTTTGTGTAGGTCACACCTCGGTTTCCTCATCTTCATCCTCCCATACTTCATCCTGCCAATCCCATTCAGCAGTCAATTCAACAGATGACCAAATATTGTTTGATAGTTCTGTGTGAACGCCACTAGCCAACCCTGCATCACCGTGTTGATAGTGAAAGCGGATGAAAGTGGCCTCTGACACCCTGCGCTCCACCAAATCTTCTTTGTCGGCAGCCTGGAAATGGACGGGCGTAGTTGTAATTTTCACCTATTTGGGATCAAGTCAAAACGGGACCTTGGAATCCGATTTTTCACCCGACAAGAGGGTCTTCAGCTCACTTGTTAAAATGTGAGAAACGCATCCCACAAGAAGCACAGTAGAAGTTGATGACGGGAAAAAAGAAAGAGCCTCCGGAGAAGACCAAGTTTTGCCCTTTACAGTCTCCAGCTCCAAGTTCGCCTGAAAGCGTTCATGTTCAGGTGTGTGTGTGTGTGTGTACACAGTGTTCGTTCCGAACGATATCGACGCGTGTAGGGGTATAGAAGCGCTATACTCTACTCAGTTCATCCCAATATTTTGCAACCATCATGGGAGCAGTCCAAATCCAATAGCAGACTGCTCAGGAAATCTGCGTTGCCTTTGCAGCCGCCGTTTTCATTTCTGCGGCCTACCAGTGATCCGAATGCGTGAGCGAGGGATCGACATATGGATTAAAAGCCGGGCCTGGAATTCAACATCGTCCTGAGCCGATTGAATGTTCCAACGCCGGCTATCCGATGTTTGTGCATGCACACTGGGGAAGCGGCTGAGGGCTGCGTTTCCAGCCAATCCATTCTTTTGACTTTCTTCGCTAAACAAGCAAGGCGTCGGGCTTGAGCAGCAACATATGTTTCTGTAGATTCTTTCGGGTCATGGTTAACTCTGAATGGAAGCTTTGCTAGCAGTTTCTTGCATACCAGAATGCAGACTTTCCGGGCGAATACACGTCCACGCGTGGAACGTAGGCAAGAAAACATACATCGGTTCCTCCGTTTCCTCAGGCTGCATGCGCGGGGGAACAGGGCTGAAGAAGCTTCAATGGCTTCCAAATCCATATGTTGCGCCAGTCGGTCGGCAATCTCGGCTGCCAGCATTTTGCGGCGAGCTTTTTGAAGGGAAATACGTCCCTGACCATCTGGTTTCTTGGGACGGGCCATGGGCTGATATGGACGATGCGATGCCCCACTGAGAGCCCAAACCAAAATCTTTAACACCATGCTCCTCAAGGGTTGTGGATTAGTACATATTGTGCACTATCCATGCAAATTCTGTGTGAAAAACGTATAGTAACATTCATGACCTGGTTCACAAAGTTTTGGTTAGAGCCTCACAGTGCGGCACCGATGGGTTCAACAAAACCACTACAGTAGCAGTGTATAGTTTGAAAGCCTGAGCTGAGCTTCCCACACACCCCGAGAAAAAACTCATCACCATTGGAGCCTCATCAACGTGTAACGTGGCACCGAGATCAGCCAAGCGCGGTAGCTGTGTGGCTGAGCCGGCCACGGACCCACGTTGGAAAGTGAAAAGCCGGCGCGACGGGGCCGACTAGATAGGCCAGGTACACTGTCCTTTTTGTATCACTGAAGTGTGAATTCTAGTCGTTGCTAAAACATGCAAAAACAGTAGGTTTGTGGGACATGTTGGTTTGTCGTCCACGTTAACCAGACAAACAACTGATGCTAACCTGTGGTTATAGTCTGCGTCAAACCGGCGAGCGGGCGGCGAATTGAAGGCAACTCTCCTGTACACATGAACAGCTCCAGAACCGACCCCAGCTTTACTGCAGCTGCATGGGCATATCTTTCTATATTTAAAAACGCTTTAAGATGTTGCAATATTACTCTCTGGGTTTTCGAGTTGCCAAGACGGCGAAAAGAAAACACGAAGCGTTTGCAGGGTTTCATCGTGCACTGCTCACTTCATCCTCAAACCTGGCAACACACCTTTCAAAGAGCCAAGGACCCGAAGACTTGTTAAAATCCGACACGCGGCCCCACGCATCACTTCACCACGAGCTGGGAAGTCTTCTTGGGTAGTGTTTGTCAGTCGTGCATTTCCGCTTCACCACGAGCTGGGAAGTGTCTTCTTTGGGTAGTGTTTGTCAGTCGTGCATTGCCCCCCTCCGGATGTTTTTCACATTAGTGGCTTAAACATCGCGCAAAATCTGCAGCGAAGGAAGGAACTGCAGGGCTCCCAGGAAGATGACATTTTGTTAAACCATAAGTCCGGTGGGCACAGTTAGCCTATACAGCCTGTGGACCTCTGTTGGTTCGCGCCCTGGACACGCGCGATCTCCGCAGAGGGTTGCGCGCGCGTGGGGCAAATCGGACTCTCGCCTGCGTTTCGCGCACTCGACACGCACGATCTCCGCAAACGGCACCGGTTGCGCGCACACCGGACAAATCGCACTCTCGCCTGCATTTCGCGCACTCGACACGCACGATCTCCGCGCACACCGGACAAATCGCACTTTTGCCTGCGTTTCCCGCACTCGACACGCACGATCTCCGCAGAGGGTTACGCGCGCACACCGGACAAATCGCACGACTCTCGCCTGCATTTCGCGCACTCGACGCGCACGATCTCCGCAGAGGGTTGCGCGCCCCGCATACAAATCGCACTCTCGCCTGCATTTCGCGCCCTCGACCCGCACGATCTCCGCAGAGGGTTGCATTTTCGGTGGACGCTGTTCGCCCCACCCTCCGCCTTTAAAGAGAATTTGTAAAGTGGGGAAATGTTTTTCATTAGGATATCTCCCGTGAAAGTTTTTTCATACTCACACTTGCATACTTGCACTGGGATACTTACACTTGCATACTTGCACTTGGATGCTTTCACTCTTACACTTACACTGGGATACTCACACTTACAAACTTGGATACTTCTGCGCCATTGTGAGTATAGAAGTGTAGGATAGTGTAAGTGTTCAAGTGTAAGTGTAGAAGTGTAAGTGTTCAAGTGTAAGTGTAGAAGTGTCAGTGTTCAAGTGTAAGTGTAGAAGTGTCAGCGTTCAAAAGATTTTCCGGAAGAACCCTTCGCAACGAAAACAGGAAAAAAGCACAAGAAAAAGCACCAGAAATAGCCCGAGAAAAACTTGAAAAACACAGCTCACGGACCCAAGAGACCGTGGAACCCAAGAACCAAGGGAGGAGCCTGGCCTGCCTGGACTGCCCTTCTTGGTTTACTCTTTAAATTTCACTGCGGTACTCCAAAGGATCAAGAATATGTAGTTGAGAGGCATGGTCAGAATCGTTTCAACAAAACATGGTTGAAAGCAGGTTTGGATGCTTAATGAAAAAGGAACATGATTCATGAGTCATGAGCTTCCAAACTTGACAGGCCAGTTCACCAAAATTTTGGGAACTTAGCTTTACTTAGATCGTTTTGCTTCTGATGCTCACAACAACTGAATCTCATGAGCAACATCCTAAGTCAGAATTGCGAGAAACAGAAATATCCGGCGCTCCCTCAGGGAGCGTGGAAATGCAATAAAACCTAGTTTTTGCTAATACAGGGCCAGGGCGCTTACAATATATGTGTATATATAATATATGTAGTTATTCTTTAACAAAATGTACGCAGTATTTGCGCTCTTGCGCATCAAGATTGCTTCTCGCTCGGGCATCTATTTGGGATTTGAGTCCGCATTGTTTGGTCGCCGCCCAACTACGACAGCGTTCGGAATCTGTGGGGCCGAATGGGCTACAGTAGCCAGCTACTGTCAGGGTTTGGCAAACTGGCCTTACCGCTGGCTTTTGATAAACAGATGCGGTTTTCCTAACTCTGTAGCTGGACAATGCTGGACACGTTTTCCTCGCTAAAAACATATGAGGCCTCATATGAGGCGCAGCGATGTGGAGCACAGCATATCGCCGGCTTTTTCAACTCTCGGGCTCTCGGACTGTCAAAAATTGGCCAACTCTAAGGACATTACATGGTCTCCAGCCGCGTGTGAGAAGCCTGGATTTCCTTCGAGTGGCGCTCAAAGGAGTCACCAACCTGAGAAAACAAAACCTGGAGAAAAAGTGATGGGCCCTACAAGAGAACCTAACTTTGCGCAGTCTTTTGAAGTAGGAGATTACCAGGAAACCGTCTAAGTGCTGAGCCAGCTGTTCAATGTAGTTGAGACGCTCTGCCACAGATGCGTGATGAGCCTGCGCCAACAAATGGCCATTGAGCCTTTGAGTAAGGTGCGAAACACACTTTGAGAAAACGTTCTCTTCAAGAAACCTTTGCAGTACTAGGTGGGGGAAGCTTCTTTGAAGAAGCTGTCCCTGTCTAGTGGCGCTACTTACTAGTAGCTACGTACCTACCGCTGACTAAAAGATACACTACTACGTACTTGTTGGCTCTCCGCTTACCCGCCAACCCCAAACAAAAAACGTGTGAGTCAACCAGTTGGTGTCAAAATGCAACTAGTTTGGCCTCCCGTGCTTTTGCTTCGTCAGCAAGTCGTACGTGCGCAGACTTGGCCTGGGTCACTATGATTTCCGAGCCTCTGAGAACTCCTGACAACTTCGACGGCAAAGCAGCGCGCATTCGCATAATGCTTTCTCCGAGCAGCTTCCCTACCTACCACGCAAGCAGCAAAGGTCAGCAAAGCGGAGCGTGCACTGACACAAGCGCGCAGGATGGCAGGTTGGACTCCGGTCAAGCGATACCAACGCTGGATTTTCGAAGCTCCCCCAAATAAATGTAATTGACCAGAGTCACAAGGAAAAAGGTCAGCGCCTCGTAATTCTTCTCGTACTCTTGCGGGAGACGGCGCTGAGACGCCGCATGACTGCGGCGACGGTAGGTCCGCTTTGCGACGCTCAAGCTCAGTTGCCACATCGACCAAACTCAGCCATCCGGACTTACAGTACTGGTTCAGGGCAACGTTCGCCTCGAGCTTGGTCACGCAGTCCACCAGCATCTTTTGGCGCGGCGCCCACCTCGCCATCGATTTTATGTCTCCTAGAGAATGACCTCACCACCATATGCGGGCTCGACAAGTTTCGCCAGCATGGCCTGGAGCCCATCCACACCTTGCAATATCGCCTGGGTCTCCCCTCCAAAGGTGGAGAAGACCTTCCGCTTCTTGACGATCGCCATGTGACGCGCGAAGCCCGCGCACTTCTGGCAGTCTCTCAGCTGCCAGCACCATCCATGCACTTGAAGGACAACGATGCCAGAAATCGGGCGACGACACTCTCCGGAGCATCGTCCAAGCCGTAGGCTTCGGGGAGCCTCAGACTCAGTCCTTCACACGGTCCTGCAAACAAAGGTCCTCGGGGACACTGCAACTTAAGTCGCTCTAAAATACAAAAACCAGCGACTGTTAGCCTTTGAGGTGTGAAGTTCAGGGTGAGGCTTCCTGCGTCGCACCACCCGAGAAGATATGACGCGATCGGGCCACTTGTTATGAGCATCATCGGCTCCTGCAAATGGCCTCCCAATCCACCTTGTCGGACTTCTCGAACATTTTCTTCTCCTCCTCGTTCAAGGCCTTGAGGTTGATCTCGCGCGCCACCTCTCTTTGGAATCTGCGCCCAAGCGCCTCCATCAGACAGAGTGCCTGAGTTCCGCGGGAGTAGTTGAATCAAGAAGTAGTTTCCACTCCACAAAGCATGAGTTGATCAAATTCTCGAACTCGTCGCGGTCACGAGCTCGAGGAATCCTCCTCGCAAACAACGGCCCGTTCACGCTGGTTCCGGAGTACGCACCGGGTTGACCTCAGCGCCATTGTAAAGGACGCGCTGTGAGCCCTGCTCCGTAATTCTTCGCCAGGCGCGGTGATGGACGCCGCGCTCGAGTCTTGAGCTCGGCGCGGATCAGTCGCTTGTACCATTGCGGTTCTCCTCCCAGCGGTCCGTATAGGAACTCCCATCGGTCCGACGCACTGGCACTTCCCTGGCTCGGGCGAGAGCTCGTCACGATTGCGAAGGGAAGGTGATTCGAATTGAGTAGTCAGTGAAGCTCGATTGCCCATAGGCGAAGTTGAGCCCGAACGCTGCGGCGGTTCACGAACGACAGGCGCATCGCAGTGTTATTTGCGCGTCATCAACTCGAGCGAGGGAAGCATCGAATGGTTGAAGCTGTGGTTTGAGGACATGACTGCCGATCAAGCCCTCTTCCTCGAAACTCTGCTGCCAACACACATTGATTGACTGAAGAGGGGGCCGCGGCCAAGATTGAACGCTCCCTCAACAAGCTGAAGAATTCTTCACCAGCTCAACTCCTTGTCCTCTTTTCCGTCTCCTGCGGGACTGGTCCAGCGCCGCAAACACGTGGGCCACCTGCCACCTGGTCCTCAGTGAGGTCGAGAGCGTCGGTCTCGTTGGCAAACTCTTCATCGTCCAGCATGCGTTCCAGCTTTGGGTTCCAACGCCCTTCCTCCGGGATGGACTCGAAAGCTAGGCCAGTCAGGCGGTCCGAACGCACATCCAGTCGACTCAAAGCCTTGGCGACAGCCGCCGGGTCTTCATCTTGTCCTTGAAGTTAGTAGGGCAAACAAATTCTGCTGGTTCCGCTCATTCAAGTTGGCGCCCTCCCTGAGCAACGTCGTCTTGAAGGCATGTTGGGACGACCACTCCGTACTGGGCTGCTTGAGAAAAGTCACGCAGCCTTCTGGTCGTCCGTGATCGCAGAGCGATAGGAGCGGCGTCGATGATCACCGAGGCAGGCCGACGATGTCAGCACGCTCTCTGCCCAAACTGCGCAAGACCTTGTCCGCCCTTTTGCGCAAGGGCAGGTCGGTGTTCTTGTTCCAGCGCTGGATAGCTTGGACCCAGTAACGTCGATGGGTCCAAGTTCACCGCAAACATAGGCATACACTGACTGCCACTCGACTGGTTCCACCAAACCAGAACCCCATCCTGAGCGCCATTGCCAGTCACGCCACTGCCACGTTGAAGAAGCGCCTGAAGCTGTGCACTTGCCCAAGCAACAGCGCGCCAAGGATCCGTAGGGGGTCTGGTGTGTAGATGGCCACGTCGAGGTAGTGTCCCCAGCTTGGGCAGCCGCGTCGGTGTAGGCGAGGAAGTAATTCGTCGATGTACTCGGTTGGGACAGGGACAGGGTTCGAGGATGCTACGGAAGGGTCCGGTGGTGAGGCAGAGACCCAGTCATCTCCTCGCTCCCTACTACTACTACTACTACTACTACTACTACTACTACTACTACTACTACTACTACTACTA